CGGGGTTTCACCGTGGTCTCCATCTCCTGTCCTTGCGATCCGCCTGCCTCAGCCTCCCAAAGTGCTGGGATTACAGGCGTGAGCCACCACACCCGGCCCCTAATCTTAATTTATCTACATGGAAATTCTTCCTTTGGTTTCATATTCCACAAAAGTTAACTTCTCAAAGCCACAGCATATAATAGCTGTGTACTTCTATGTATCTAATAAACGATTGCCTCATTTCTTACCCCTTTTAGAAATCTTTAGTTGAAAGACTGAAGGTAGCATGAAAATAAATTCATGCCATAACTCACTGGACAATCTACCCAGCAGGAAAAAAAAAAAAAAATTCATATCCTAAAAATATGTAGAGATGGTATGAATTGTTATTTTACCAGTTTATTCAAACTATTTCATCTTCACTTTTTAATCTTGGGCATTTTCAAGCCCTAGATTCAACTTAATTTGCTTTGGCTGGAATTCTGCTGTTTCATGAGCCAGCAGGAGATTTCCAAGCACATTAATAAAGTTTTTAAAGTAACACCTTCAATACATAAGAGCTACATAAATTTAAAAATAGTAATTAAAAAAAACTAATACCTATGCTGTTTTGTGACCTGTCCCCAAGTGTCATCCATTCTTTTCTCCTTTGAATATGATACCAAGGAAGAAGAATCAAGCAAAAGGGGAAAAAAGTGATTAAAAAAAAAAAAATCAAAGCCTGTTTGGTTTCATGTTTCAGGGTCTCCTGGCCAAAATTCCCCAAAGCTGTGAAGACAGAAAGGTGGTGAACTGTATCACAAAAGTGCAGCAGGTTTCTGAAGGCGCTCCCTACGATGGAACTTAAGACTTGCATTACTTTCCCAAGAGGAAAGGATTTTCTTCCCATCCCAATTTGTATGAATGGAGTTATTTAAGAAAAAAAAATACTTTTACACGAAACTTTGGAAGTGAGAGCTGCTTTTTCCTTCTTTCTTTCCTTTTACCTCCATAGGAGTAGGGAAAGTAGAACAAGAAAAAAATTGAACTCCTTCCATTTCTAAATAAAGTTTGGGAGAAAAAAGGACACCAAGGAATGTAGCATTTAAAATTTAGAAATATTTACATCCGTCATCTCATCCCAGATCCAAGAACTCATCTGTTAAGTTTCTCGGGCACAAGCTGTTACTTCAACACATATGCTATAAAAATACTCTTGTTCACAACTTAGCTTTCTTCACTCACTCCAGATTTCTTGCCCCACTGACGTGGCATAAATAATAAAAACACAAATATTGTGTTCAACACAACACAGAAGAGCAAAAACTGGAGGTGTGTATGTGTTTTTTTTTTTTTTTTTAAAAAAAGAAACAGTTCTGCATGTTCAGTCCTGGGTATAAATGTTGAAAGGGAAATCACGTGGTTTTGGCCTTGGCCATGGACTCTGTCTCCTGCTCATATTCTATTTCCACATAGGCTCGTTTTCTCCGCAGTGGTCCTCTCAAGGGCGTTTTGCCTTTGTGTTTTGCACTAAGGGCCTTTTCTTCCTCCTCACTGGAGGATTTACCATCCTGATCTTCATCACTGCTGGCATCCAGTTTATCCATATCCTAATATGGAGAGAAAAGATAAAGGAGGAGGGAAAACACTAGATTTCTCCAAACTCCCTTCATTGTCCCCTCTATTTAGAATAGACTAGGGAATTGATTTGTCTATGTCTATGTTCAGTAATTGTCCCGTTTCTTTCTTTCTTTTTTTTTTTTTTTAAGATAGGGTCTTGCTCTGTTGCCCAAGCAGGAGTGCAGTGGCATAGTTATGGCTCACTGCAGCCTCAAACTGCTGTAGTCAGGCAATCCTCCCACCTCAGCTTCCTGAGTAGCTGGTACTACAGGGAACCGCCACCAGCCTGAGTAGCTGGTACTACAGGGAACCGCCACCATATCCAGCTGAATTTTTTTTTTTTTTTTTTTGAGACAGAGTCTCGCTCTGTTGCCCAGGCTGGAGTGTAGTGATGCAATCTCAGCTCACTGCAACCTTCACCTTCTAAGTTCAAGCAATTCTTCTGCCTCAGCCTCCCAATTAGCTGGGATTACAGGCATGCGCCACCATGCCTAGCTAATTTTTGTATTTTTAGTAGACACTGGGTTTTGCCATGTTGGCCAGGCTGGTCTCGAACTCCTGACCTCACATGATTTGCCCGCCTCGAGGTGATCAGCCCACCTCAGCCTCCCAAAGTGCTAGGATTACAGGCATGAGCCACCGCACCTGGCCAATGATTTTTAAAAATGTTTAGGCCAGGCACAGTGGCTCATGCCTATAATCTTAGCACTTTAGGAGACTGAGGCAGGCAGCTTACCTGAGGTCTGGAGTTATAGACCAGCCTGACCAGCATGGTGAAACCCCGTCTCTATTAAAAATACAAAAAATTAGCCAGGTGGAATGGCACATGCCTGTAATTCCAGCTACTTGGGAGGCTGAGGGAGGAGAATTGCTTGAACCCGGGAGGCTGAGGTTGCAGTGAGCCCAGATCGCTCCATGGCATCCTTAGAGATGAGGTCTCACTATGTTGCTCAGGCTGGTCTTTAACTCCTGAGCTCAAGCAGTCCTCCCACTGTGGCCTCCCAAAGTACTAGGATTATAGGAGTGAACCACTGTGCCTGGCCACCTCCCTGTTTTTTTTGCTGCAGGCCAAAGGACAATCTTTTTACCCATAAAGCTCACCTCAAAATCACTTATGTCACTCTCATCTACCTCATCATCTTCGACAAATTCTCTTTTCCCCACATCCTATAAATAAAACGTAACTGTTAGGTTCACAACATATAATGAAGATTCAGATAAGACATCTAAGTAAGTACAAAATAACATAATCAGAACCACAGTCTATTCACTAGGCAACCAAAATTTAGTTCTTCCTAAGTTTAATGCTTCCGAATTTTAAAAATTTTAGGGCTACCAGATCATTCTTATTCTTGATTTACATTATTAGCAATAAAACATCCTCATTATGGTTAAAAACTAGATACAGACAGGAAAGGCTTTATAATTTGTCACCTTGCAGGAACAATTTACAAGACCAATAAATTAAGACTAAAACTGTGAATGGTTTGTTGGTTAGCCTGAAGAACAGAGCAACCAGTGCTAAACCAAAATTAATCACGTGAAAGAAAAAAGAAGACATATCATTTTTGGTTGGTGGACTAAAGATGACATTCTGTTTGTCAGTTATATACAAATAGTATCTAGTAGGTTTGGCAAAACAAAAACAAGACTTACTTCCTCCTCATCATCTTCATCATCTTTTTCCTCAGCATCTGAAGAGTCACTCTCTGCCTCCTGTTGTTCCAGGGCCTTGTCGAAGGCATGAATGGGGAAGTTGTAGATGTCGCCATACTGAAGAACATAAACACAGATTGGCTTTAACTACATTTGGATATTACACTTGAAGTTCCACTGTCTGTGGAGAATATTATTTTTTCCTCAGTGATTAAATCAGAATACTTAATTCGATGAGTAATATTTTTAAGTGTAAAGCCAGCAGTGTCTTAAAAAAGCATGTTCTTTTGAACATTTAAATCATCTGTAGTTAGTATCAAATAGGTAACTTCTATGGAGTTACATTTTAAAATCATTTAAAATGTAATCGTCTATCAAACCCATGCATTGGGACAAATGTAATTTGCTGACAAGGGGAAATAATAAGGACAAAGCATACTTTAGTCATGTTGTCTGTATAAACAACACTAATTTTTAAAAAGAGAATAAAAACTTATTTCAAAGAGCCTTAAAAGACTAGGGTAATATGTAAGAGAAGCAAAACCCCATGGCTTTTATACAGAAATCCGGAATCGTCGTCTTGGCGAATGGAGTTGAGAATGATGGCAAAAAGGGAAAGGTCTCTTATAGTGAATGGAGTATCAAGGGTAACCAAAGCATTTTATGTGCTTGCATTAATTAAAACAAGGAAGCCAGGCCGATATGGATTTATTTTATTCCAGGGATAAAATTCGAGTGGAGATCTTCATATCAGGTTAAAAAACATTTCCCAGCCAGGTGCGGTGGCTCAGGAGTTCAAGACCAGCCTGGCCAAGATGGTGAAACCCTGTCTCTACTAAAAATACAAAAATTAGCTGGGCGTGGTGGCAATGCCTGTAATCCCAGCTACTCGGGAGGCTGAGGCAGGAGAACTGAACTCCGGAGGCAGAGGTTTGAAGTGAGCCGAGATTGTGCCACTGCACTCTAACCTGGGCGACAAAGCAAGACTCCAACTCAAAAAAACAAACCAAAAAACCCAATGTGTCTTAGCAACATACTACCACTTAAAATTTCAGTACCCCAAAGCTAATGGCTTTCTCACCGTATCCTGTTTCAGTCTCTCCAGTAATTCCTTCTCAATGGCATTGTCCAGCTGAGCAGCTATTAATGCCTTTTCCTATAAGGGGGAAAGAGCAAATCCATTTAATTCATCAGTGCTCATTATTCATCTTATAAAAATGGAAGAAACTACGAAGTTGTTTATAAGAAAGACAATGTAATCATTTCCCCTCCTTGCTATTACTGGCTTTTGCCTCTCCAACCAGATAAATTTCTTTTTCTTTCTCTTGTAAACTTTCTTCAGGACATTTCCATTTTGAAATTCCTATGGTTTTGTAAACAACATTCTAAATTAAATTCTAACAAAGCCTTTGACGGATACAAAACATGTAGGTCTATATACATTTAAGTGTCTCAGAAATAATCTAGCAACTCTGGAGCCAGACTTTGTAAAAGCTGAGAAAAGAAAACAGAAATCTTCATTCGTTTACGTTTTCTAAAATCATGTTAGATTCCATGTGACAGAATAGGTAAAAATCTCTTCCTCCAGTTTTCTCTCATTGGAGATGATACATGACATCAACCTGTACTACCGCACAGTAGCCTAGGATGGTGCATTAATTTGACAGTAAAAGTCACAGAGGGTTTTAAAGTGTTATACCTATAAGTTATGTTAGAATGATTACCTAAAACTGTGTAGGGGCACATGGATCAGTTAAAAGGCTACAGCGATGTTCCGTGTTGTTCTCTAGAGTGGGGTGCTTACACTTCAAGGGTATCCGATGAAGTGTAGGAAGAAAATATTCAAAACTTCCACGTTATCTTTTTCCTTAAAAAAATTAAACATCATTACTACTTTTCTTGTACACTGACATCTGTGCCTTGACTCTGTCTATAAAGTAAATAGTTGTGTGTCAGATACAGTGAGCCAGATATCTCAAGGGAGGAATACTGCACATAGGGCTTGTAAGTGGTGGTCTCAGTCCTTTATTCAGACAACTATTTAACTGTTTATGTTTGCTTAGTTAAGTGGATTCATAGATTACACTGAATATTCTGCCAAAGATAGAGAGTAGTTGTAAAAGTATGCTGGTTATCTAATGGGTTAGTGCTTTTAAAAGTTGTAGAACCAGGCTGGCAAGGTGACCCACGCCTGTAATCCTAACACTTTGACAGGCCAAGGTGGACAGATCACCTGAGGTCAGGAGATCAAGACCAGCCTGGCCAATGTGGTGAAACCCCGTCTCTACTAAAAACACAAAAAATTGGCCGGGCAGAGTGGCATATGCCTGTAATCCCAGTTACTCAGGAGGCTGAGGCACAAGAATTGCTTGAACCCAGGAGGTTTAGGTTGCGGTGAGCCAAGATAGCACCACTGCACTCCAGCCTGGGTGACAGAGTGAGAGTTGTAGAACCTAAAAATGATCCATGCATTTTTCACGAAAAGAAAAATATTCCAAATTTGCCAATCTTTTTATGTAACCCAGTAGAAGTTTTTAAAAATAAATACACTTAATCTGTTTCTTCCAGACAAAGGCAACATTTTAATAGTTTGAGGAAGACAATTGTTTTTTGAAAAAAACCTTGTTGTTCTGTGAACGTTGTGAAAAGTGATTGTATCTATATATGGCACTGCTGAAAACATGTCTCCTATAAAAACTGCAATCACACACTTTAGAAATGTGGAAACAGAATATTGTAATCCATTTAAAACTCTTCCAAATCTACATTTTTCAGAGGGTTTCTATTTTCACTCAATTGGTGAAAATAGAAAAAATTAATTTTTTCCGAAAGGTTTAAAGAACACCTGTTTGACAACTGGAGATGAAAACTCACTAACTGGACTTGAAAAAAAGCCGCTCCATAACTGATGGAGCATAATGAAGAATTAAAGTACTTAAGACCACCTATTGACAATGCACTTCTCTACAATTCCTCAGTTATGACAGCCCTTCAAGACAACATACTCAGCTAAGAACCAGACTTTTGTTTCACTACGTCACAATTAGTTACAATACACATCATGTTATTAGTGGAAGTGTATATGTATAATAACATTTATAGCCTATAATCCCAGCACTTTGGGAGGCTGAGGTGGGTGAATCACCTGAGGTTGGGAGTTTGAGACCAGCCTGGCCAACACAGTGAAACCCCGTCTCTACAAAAAATACAAAAATTGGCTGGGCCTGGTGGTGCATGCCTGGAATCCCAGCTACTTGGGAGGCTGAGGCACAAGAATCGCTTGAATCTGGGAGGCGGAGGTTGCAGTGAGCTGAAATTGCACCACAGTATTCCAGCCTGACAGACAGAGCGAACCTTTTTCTCAAAATAAAATATTTATAAATAACATTGGGGAGTACATGTTCAAAAATTTTATTGAGGTGAGCACAAGTTTGCAGACCAATGATACAGATTTTAGACACATAACTCTGTGATTAATGGGGACAGAAGAATCAAAAGAAAAGCTATCCCTACCAAAATACCAATGACAAATAAAAATAAAAAAAAAAAAAAAAACAAAAAACACACTCCACACAAAAAGAAAAAAAAAAACCAAAAAATTTATAAAAAAACAAAAAAGATAGAAGAGAGAAAAAGATACCAAAAAAAAAAAAACAAAAAAAAAAAAAAAAAAAAAAAAAAAAAAAACAAAAAAAAAACAAAAAGAAACAAAATAACAAAACTCAAAATAAAACAAGGAACAAAACAAACAAAACAACAAAAGAAAGGCAATAAGAACAGACACAGAGACCAATGGAACAGAATTGAGAACCCAGAAACAAATCCACACACGTCCAGTGAACTCATTTTCGACAAAGGTGCCAAGAACATACACAGGGGAATAGACAGTCTCTTCAATAAATGGTGCTGGAAAAACCTAACATCCATATGCAGATAAAGGAAACTAGACCCCTATCTTGTGGTATACACAAAAATCAAACCAAAATGGACTAAAAAAATCTAAGACCTCCAACTATAAAACTACAAGAAAACACCGAGAAAACTCCAGGTCATTGGTCTCGGCAAAATTTCTTAATATCCCACAAGCACAGGTAACCAAAGCAAAAATGGACAAATGGGATCACATCAAGTTAAAAAGCTTCTGCACAGCAAAGGAAACAACAAAGTGAAGAGACAACCCACTGACTGGGCAAACTATCCACCTGACAAAGGATTAATAACCAGAATATAGGCCAGGAGTGTAATCCCAGCACTTTGGGAGGCTAAGGCAGGTGGATCACCTGAGGTCAGGAGTTTGAGACCAGCCTGGCCAACATGGCGAAACCCCATCTCTACTAAAAATACAAAACAAACAGCCAGGCATGGTGCTGGGCGCCTGGCATCCCAGCTACTTGGGAGGCTGAGGCACAAGAATTGCTTGAACCCCGGAGGCAGAGGTTGCAGTGAGCTAAGATTGCCCCATAGCACTCCAGCCTGGGTGACAGAGCGAGACTCCATCTCAAAAACAAACCAAAACAAAACAAAAAAACCCAGAATATATAAGGAGCTAAAACTACTCTATAGGAAAAAATTCTAATTATTGGATTAAAAAGTGGACAAAAGGGTCAGACACGGTGGCTCACAGCTGTAATCCCAGCACTTTGGGAGGCTGAAGTGGGTGGATTGGTTGAGCCCAGGAGTTCAAGGCCAGCATGGGCAACATAGTGAAGCCCCATCTCTACAAAAGATACAAAAATTAGCCAGGCATGGTGGCATGCACCTGTAGTCCCAGCTATGTGGGAGGCTGAGGCATAAGAATCACTTGAGCCCAGGAGACAGAGGTTGCAGTGAGCCAACATCACACCACTGCACTCCAACCTGGACAACGGAGTAAGACCCGGTCTCAAAAAAAAAAAAAAAAAAAAAAAAAAAAGGCAGGGGGCAGGGATTGGGGAAGCAAAAGATCTGAATAGATGTTTTTCAAAAGACATACAAATGGCAAACAGGCATATGAAAAGGTGTTCAACATCACTGATCATCAGAGAAATGCAAATCAAAACGAGATATCTCACCCCAGTTAAAATGGCTTTTATCCTTCAAAAGACAGGCAATAACAAATGCTAGAGAGGATGTGGAGAAAGGGAACCCTTGTACACTGTTGGTGGGAATGTAAATTAGTACAACCACTATGGAGAACAGTTTGGAGCTTCCTCAAAAAACTAAAACTAGAGCTACCATACTATCTAGCAGTCCCACTTCTTGGTACAGACCCAAAAGGAAATTAGTATATCAAAGAGATACCCACACTCCATGTGTGTTACAGGTCTGTTCACGATAGCCAAAATTTGGAAGCAACCTAAGTGTCCATCAACAGATTAATGGATAAAGAAAATGTGGTACTTATACACAATAGAGTACTATCCAGCCATTAAAAAGAATTAGATTCTGTCATTTGTAACAATATGGATGGAACCGGAGGTCATAATGTTAAGTGAAAGAAGCCAGGCACAGAAAGACAATCATCGCACATTCTCACTTATTTGTGGGATCAAAAAATCAAAACAATTGAAATCACGGATATACACAGTAGAAGGATGGATACCAGAGGCTGGGAAGGGTAATGGGGGTGGGGATGATTAATGGGTACCCCCCGCTAAAAAAATAGCAAGAATGAGTAAGACCTAGTATTTGGTAGCAGCACAACAGGGTGACTATAGTCAATAATAATTTAATTGTACATTTTAAAATAACTGTAAGTATAATTGAATTGTTTGTAACACAACGGATAAATGCTTGAGGGGATGGATGCCCAATTTTCCATGATGTTATTACTCACTGCATGGCTGTACTGTATTTCACTGCAGAAATTCCATTTGATTAGAATGCTCAAAATCCACTAAAGGTGTTATGTAGTATGTAAAATAAGCAACATCAAAATTCTGAATTCTGAAATATTTGACCACAAGAATTTCAGACAAAGGAGTTGTGGATTCTTTCTGTTCTCCATTACATATATCCCCAAAGCACACACACTTTAACCTGTGCTGAAAATCATAATCTTAAAATATGAAAAATCAACGTCTTAGGCAACTAATAGCTATCTATTAGTGAACCATTATCCAGGGCCTGAACAGTTTACACACATGATGGTGACTGAATCTATAAGAGCCCCTCAGAAAGAAAATGTAGAAGGTATGAATAGCACAACAATAAGTTACCTCTCTTCTTTTCTCCCTACGCTCCACCTTCTTACTCAAAGGAACAAGTTTCCTCCTAAGGGAAAGAAAATATATCAGAAAATCCACTGTCATGTGCTGTGTTCCTTTTAAAGAAGAGAAGAAAAAAGGATTGGAACTGGTGCTGTAGGTCTCAGCTCAATGCAGCAAAATACACTAAATGCTTCTAGAAATTTAATGCTATAAAAAGTCAGATATTTTTACATATATTTTAATCTGGCCATTTTTGTTTAGGCATTCTGGGATTCTCAGGGCATTCACCATGCTAAAATTAAGACTTCAGTGAACTAAGAAAAAAGAATTTTCTGTCGAAGTCTGACATCATCTTTAGCATTCTCTGTAGATCACAATCAAAAAGCATTAGGGCCTAACAGTCCTAGAGGAGGTATTCTATTAATTCTGGGGATTTCATATCACTTTTAAAAATTAGTTTTCCGTGAATCCAGAGTAAAGTTCTTACAGTCCTGTATATTCACATGTCTTAGATGATTTTCAAATGTCTAAAGTTAAGATTCCCTCAGGGGTCATACAGGAAATTTTCTGAAGGCTGGGCATGGTAGCTCATGCCTGTAATCCCAGCACTCTGGGAGGCTGAGGTAGGCGGATCACTCGAGGTCAGGAATTCTAGACCAGCCTGGCCAACATGGTGAAACCCTGTCTCTACTAAAAATACAAAAAAAATTAGCCAGGCATGGTGGTCCATGCCTGTAATCCCAGCTACTTAGGAGGCTGAGGTGGGAGGATTGCTTCAACAGGGGAGGTGGAGGTTGCAGTGAGCTGAGATCAAGTCACCGCAAATTCCAGCCTGGGCAACAGAGTGAGACTCTGTCTCAAAAAAAAAAAAAAAAAGAAAAAATTTTCTGGAAGATTTTCAGACAAGGAGGGTGATAATCAAGTTGCATTCTACTGTTTTAAAAGTCCTGCCATATCAAAGGGCACACCTTTAGTCTAAAGTTTCTTCTTAGTACATCATAACAGACTCCACAAAGTTGAACAGAAAGCCCTGAAGTTTTACAATTTCTCAACTTCAAAACAAGCTCCACGAAAAGATACATTTAAAAATAGTGAAGGATCCAAATACTTACTGTCGCTTTAGTGTAAGTTTTCTAATTCGAATTAGGTATTGGGTGATCTTGGTGAATCTCTGCTTACATTTGTGTCGAATGAAACGGGGCCAGTAAATCAGATTTTCATCTATTTGCTCCAGTGCTTTCTCATAGTTTTTACTAAGCCGGACCTACCAAACAGAAAAAGGAACTTTGAAGGGCAAGTGTAAATGATTCATTAGGTTTTCACTGTCAGTGACACCTATGGCCTAATGAGGATGGCCCCAAAAGTTTAATCTAGATATGGTCATGGAATTGGGCATCATGGTGGTCAAGCCTGTGGCATTGAGGCTCTTGATCAGTGGTCACTGTAGCTTTGTTGTAAGGCTTACCCGTTCCCAAAGACGCCGAGGAAAAGCTGCTCGTTCTATAACCTTCATATACAAGTAGCACTGTCCTGAG